TAAAAAGAACTATGCTGCACAGGGCAATTTAAAAGGGAAAGCAAGTGTTGTGGAAAAACCAAATCAATCCTCTAAAGGAAGATGCAGCCATTAGGAAGAAAAGGCAGGGCCGGAGAGATGGCTCAGCAGATAAGAGACTCCCCACTTTTGCAGAGGACCTGGGTTGGATTCCCAGCACCCATGCTCACAGCTCACAGCTCACAGCCATCTGTAATTCCAGTTTTAGGGGATTTAAAACTGGCACTCATATGGTGCACAGACATTCATTCAAGCAAAACATTCATACACATAAAATAAACTAAATAAATCTAATTAAAAAAATAAGAAAACCCAATAGGGACATTAAATATGAGGTTATCTAAGATTAGGTTAGGAAAGAATTAGCAGACTTGAACACAGATTTGAGACATCATCCAGAATGGTGTTCAAGAATAAAAAAAGTGCACGGCATGTAAACACAGCTTAAGCTGCATAAATGAACAAGTGCAAATTTCACATATATCTAAATAAGAGTTCCATAAACTAGAAAGGAAATAGGGGGAGACTAATGATTTATAAATTGGAGATTTTATATAAAGAACATTTGTTTTTTAGTAAAACAAATTAAACTAAACCACAATACTAACTAATTCTCTACAATTATCTCAGAAAAAAGAAAAGATGGAACACTTGCCCCTAATTTACCCTGATACCTAAAGAAAGAAAAGACATCAAAGAAAATTTCAGACTAATAACCCATGTAAATATGGAATACAAAACTTCTCATAAACCATTAATTGAATCTACCAACTTATATAGAAAAGACAACAACATGATCAAAAAAGTACAACCAGAGAATGAAAATGATTCAACATTTAAAGGCTTAATTATTGTGAGAAACCACAACAATACATTTCAAAAAGACTGATCTCAACGCATTGAGAAAAATCATTTAAAATACAGTATCACTAAAATAAAAGGCAAACTAGGAATTAAAGTTCTTCAAAGGAGCATCTGAAAAATTAGCATCAGACTTCCTGGTTGCCTGTGAGATGCCAAATGCTTCCCCTGAGGTTCCAAGTTTGAGCTTGCTCCCAAGTGCAGTATCACAGGACTGTTTAGCCAGTGCAGCAAAAAACAAACAAACAAAAAACCCAAGTGTCTCTATTTGTAGTTTCACACGGAGATTTCAAATGGCTCTACCTACAGATCCATTAAATACTTCTCAGAAGTATTTATACTTCTGAGTTTATTTATATCTCGCAAGAATAACAAATCCTAAGAGGCATTTGTTTCAAAGTGGATTATGTATGATTAAGAACATGAGGACAGTCTGGTGGTCTCCCTCCCTTTAGCTGAATTACTGAATCCTTGGTCTGCTTACTGTTTCTCCTGAAAACCCTCACGCCCTCTGCTGCCCACAAATGGAACATTCGCATTTATTTGGTAGGAAACATTCTACCCATCTGCATTCATATTTCTGTCCAAGAAATTTTTTTAAATTTCTGAGACAGCTTTTGGGATCAGTACATTCTAAAAAGTCCTTACTTTTTTCCTTATTAAAATGCAAAGCATATTTACTACTGATAACATGATATAATCATTCAATCTTACTGCTTAGAGATAACTGCCATGATAAAGTGCTGTACTCCCTCTGGAACTGTTTCTAGGAATATAATTCCACATTAAATTTATTATTGTTATTACAGAATTGGTATTTAACTATACATAAAGGTTAATACATGCTCTTTTAGCCAATATTATATTATAGTTATTTCCTGTATGACGAGTCACCTTCAAAATATAATTTTTAAATTGTTTTATAAGATTACCTGTTGGACCCTAATTCTGGGGTCCTGATGGGCCGATGGGAGAGCCCTGAGACACAAACACCAAAACCAGGAGATGCAACAAGCAAGAGGTGTTTATTGAACGAGTGCACTCGGGTGACAGCAATCTCAGGGAAAGCTGCACACACCCCAAAGGGTTTAGGCTCCTTTTTATAGAGACAAACCGCAATCAGCATACATGCATGGGGCACAAGGTGACTGATTACAAAGTATGATCTCATGTTTGAGAGATCACCCAGGTATGACCTGTTCTTATTCAAAGGATAAACCAAAGAATAACTTGGAAAGTCCCCAGACTGTCCGTTGGCCAGGAGTGACCCAAACAGGGATGTTTATCTGGAATCATTTGTTCCAGGGTTGGGGGCCTATTTCCTTGTTGTGGGCCATGACCTGGGAGAGACTTCAGTTATTTCACAAGACGTTGATGATTCAGTTGCTAGCCCTATTTAGCAGAATCAGCCTATCATGACCACTAGCCCTCTCACCATAGTAACGTTCTTGTTTTCATAATTTCTGTTCTCTCCTCCCATGTCAATGTCCATGCTTTATGATTTTCTATATTCCGCTTGCAAGAATTATTCTTCTGCCCCTTTCCTACATCCTTGCTCTGCAAACTAAAATCTTTCAACCAATATATAGTCAATTTAATTATCGCTCTCTTTTTGGGAGCATTTAGATTGTTAAATTATTTCTAACTACAAGTAGCCCTATAAGACAAAAATTCTTGTTCATTCATAATTTTATGCTTTCATCACCCAAACCCACAATTTCTGGGTCATATTGGCTTCATCTTGTGTTTCTGAGTCTGTTTTCTTATGTGTTGTTCTTGGGGAGTAACAGGCATCCTTAACAGTGTTTTGTGAGGATATAGGGAGACAATGTACATAAGCATGCTTTGAAAATGGTATTTGTTAGTCACTATTTACATGTGATACATATTAGAGTGTTAGGTGTTGATAACTTTAATATCTTACATCAATCTTAATATCAATAAGAGTCTCAATTCTCAACCTCATAAAACCAGAAATGTAATGTTCAATAAGTTTTAGTTCCTTTATTTGAAAGTAATGAAATGATTGTGTCATATATATACCATTAGGACTCAGTTGGCAATTCTATTATTTTAATTTTTCTCATGAAAGGAAAAATATAGGTAATTTATTATGGATACATTTTTATTCTAACTATGTCTAGCAATCACATAGCAAATCTGAGTTCATTGTCAACTTGTTTGTGCCTTTTTCAAGTTTTCAAAAATATGCCAATAGGTTTTCATAAAAATATAATTGAAGATTAATTTGAGAATTATGTCCACATAAAACACAAAGCCAAAGACATTCTGCTTAGCATAAAATGTATTTTATATCTTCCAGAGACAGGCTAGAAACACAGGAATGATGGAAGCGTGGGAAGGAAAAGGAACCTTCACTCAGAGTGGAACCAGTGCCTCTCACCAGCCGAAAGTTATGAATCACAACACAGTTACAACATTATTTATGAAGGGTGCCAAAAGGAAGGTAATATTTCTTTTATATAGAGACATTTCTAAGTTAGAATGTTGAAGTAGCAAAGAAACATGCCCAAGACCTAAACACATGTGGTCTTTCTTCTTTCTCAGCAATTTTCTAGGAATCTCACCAGAAACCCTATTTACAGTAAAGGACATGTCTTGATACCCTCTTCTACAATTCTAATGACACATGGTTTTATTTTAGGACTGTAAGCCAATCTAAGACACCCCTAGAGCAATCAATAATCTAACTTGTTGCAAAAGGGGAGAAAGTGTTTTAAAGACTTTTCTAAGACATCTTTTGAGGCCTAACTTGAGAGTCACCAAAAGAGTCACTCTCCAGAGCTGCCGTTGAGACACTTAAGGGCAAAATGTCCTTTGAAAAGCCTACACATGTGTTCTTGAGCATGTCTCATTTTTCCTGCATGATCACCTCTGTTAATCCCTATGCTTTGTAAATCTATGTTTACAATCTCTTTTTTATCAACTCCAACTCTCTTTCTTACTAGTTTATCCCAACATTCATTTTTGCAGCAAAGTCAAGGATGGGCTTTACCTCAGAGGAAGCCCCTAAGGGTAAGAGGACTTCTGAGGCTGCTGGTAGCAGGTTTGGGCTGCCACCATAATCTTCACGAAAAGAACAATACAGACATTGGTGAAGACTCAGCCTAGCAGTCTGTTACTCCAGGTCCCAAAATTTGGGGTCCTAATTTTGGCTGAGGGCTTTTATCTTTCTTTATAGGTACCATTTTATTTTATTTTATTGAGACAGAGTTCTCTTTATATAGTCCAGGGTGACCTCAGATTTGAGATCCTCAGCTTCAGCTTTCAAATGCTGGAAGATTAAAAGTGAACACCTATCTGTCTGTATGCAATGTATTTAAGGAATATTTGTAGAAAGTGGGAGAGACTAGGCAAGCAAGGGTGAAATAATGGCTGCACCCACACTTTCTTTTTTTTTTCTTTTTTTTTTCTTTTTACTGCCTACTTAATAATAAAGAAGGAAAGAACCCTTATAGAGTTATTTAGTACATTCTATCTTTACATCAAAACTGAAGGAACGGGTTCCTGTGACACAGGTAAACCAACAGGGCCAGGAAAATAATCTGATACCCCGAACAAGTCTTATGGGGGGAGGGGGAGAAAGAGCTTTTATTTATTTATTTACCACTAATGCTGAGGATCATTTGTAGTGAAAGAGAGCTATGCTGTTCTTTAAACAAGATCAAATGTCTCAAAATTTCCCGGCAACTTAGAAACAATGCTATTCCAAAAATACTACTTCAATAGTTTTGTAGACTGTGCACCACTTTGCCAACTGTAGTTTCAACTGATCCTAGTAAAAAACCCTTCCATACAAGGCAAGGTAGATATTGTCGCCGTCATTTTACAAGAAAATTATAAAACCTAAAGGCACCGGGTGAGTGGCTTAAGGTTACTCACAGTTAAGAAAAATCTAGGATTCTAGCACCCTTTTCTATCTAGTACTTTCTAGGTAAGAGGGAGTTCCCTTAAGGGGCAGAGGAGTAGGGGGAAAGCAACAGAATAGGTCTTTCTTGCTAAGGAAGGTCTCTTGCTGAAGGTGGCTCTATCCCAGGAGACCCAGCCTACAGAGCGTAACTTTGCATCTAATTCCTATCTGTAAACACGCCGTTCCTTACCCTTTCTCTTGGTCTTGATCCTTATTTAGAGTTATTTTTCTGTATGGATTTTAGCCCCTGGGGTATCACTCCAAAACTCCACACTCTCCCAACAAGTCGCGTCCTTGGTATCCAAGGTAGCCACACAGCTGAAAACAGCCTGTTGCTTCCACTCTTTCTATTGGTCAGTTGTTCTCTTGGCCAATGAGCTTGAAGCAACGACTAGGCTCTGCTACCAATCGGTTCATGTCACTCTATCTATTTCGGCGCACTGTCTCCTGGGATCTGTAGTTTTAACGCCACTAGAGTACTTTGATGTCTGCTACCTGTAGAACTACATATCCCGGCGGCCTCCGCCAAAGGGGCGGAAATAGGAAGTCCGGGTCAGGGTTTTAATACGGCGCTTTGAAGTTGTGATTTTTTTCACCGGGCTCGTTTTGCGGCTGTGATTTCAATCCTTCAGTTCTGTGCTGAGGCCTTGCCTTGCTGGTTCTTCTTGTGCGGAGCAGTGAGACCGAGCCGAGGAGGGCATGTTCGGCCGCCTCTCTCCTGGCGCGCTCCAAGTGCGGGCAGGCGCCTTGTTCGGGGCTCTTGGGACACGCACGCGCGTCTCGGACCGGGAGCGGCGCGGGTCAGCTCCTGATGGCCCCGGGGCCGGTCTGGCGCGCGCGGCTGTGAGGGAGTGGACGCTGCAGGTGAGCCCGTTCGGACGGCTGAGGACGCGGCTTCCGTGCCACCTGGTCGTGAGGCCCCTGGATGCCCTGGCGCACCCGGACGGCGACCGCGTGCAGGTGGCGGTGTGCGGCGTGGGGCGCGAGGCACGCGGCCTGGACAGTCTGCAGGTCGAGTACGATGCCGCCCGGCAGGAGATGGCCATCCTGTCAGACGACATCGACCCCCGGGCGTCGGTGGAGGTGAACGCACCCCTCAAGTTTGGCAAGTCAAGTGAAAATTGGCTTGGGGCGCTGGCAGCACCGCTGTCTTAGATTAGGTTTCCTTCCACCCTACTTAATTGGAGCCTTCAGGAGCCCTCTTTGCTAAAGCAACACACTTGGATTCCTGAACAGTAATAACAGTATTTAAAATACTTTTCTCCAGTTAAGAAGAAAAATTAAGACCGAACATAAGCATGAATTGGAATAATCAAAGTCTAATTGCTTTGCGGAGCCTGTGATGTTCTTTGTCATAGTCATTAGCAAAATGGTTCCTCGTTCAGAGTTGAGGTTTCTGGGTAACTCATTCAGTGGCTTGGTGTCCACATTGTTCACATCTGTGTATAAATGCCTCACAACTAACCTAGAAAAAAAATACTTGCTTTCCGACAGATACCAAAGCTATTAGGTGTGCATGATGTTAGGCATAATAAATTCTCTGGCAGTAGTAAGCTTTGAAGCAAGACAAATAGTAAGACTGGAAAATTTTATAATGGTACCTGGAAAACATATTTCTTAGCTGTTTGGGTCCCATTATTTCCCAGATGCCAGAGCACACACACTTTTCTAGGATAGATTCTCCAGGCTCTTATTCCTGGAACAGAAGGCTGATGATCATAACAACATCATTTACCTCGTAAAAGGCTATTTTTATTAACCCTTATAGTTGCTCCATAGAGTAGATACTCTTATTGTCACCATTTCATATGAGAAAATCAAGATATAGGAAGTATAAAATAATGTAAGGGAACAAACGATAAAACCTGAGGCATTGAATAATGTACTTTCTAGCCACATTTCCACCTTAAATGCAAAGAGATGGGTCTGGGATTTGAGCTGACTGGAATGGCTGAGCCGTTATGCTCTCTTGCTTCTTACCTAACTAGCCTAGATGAGTAAGAGGCTGTGCCCTCCACATGTACTAATCTGAAGGTCCTGAGGGGATTTACCACAATACAGATTAAGGTGGTGTCTTAGGGTTTCTATCCTGTGAAGAGACACTATGACCACAGAAACTCTTATAAAGGAAACATGTAATTGGGTAGTTTGCAGTTCAGAGGTTCAGTCCATTATCATTATGGTGGGACATGTCAGCATGCAAACAGACATGGTGTTGGAGAGGTAGGCAAAAAGAAGTGAGACCACAAAGCCCACTTCCACAGTGACACACTTCCTCCAACAAGGCCACACCTCCCATTAGTGCCACTCCCTTTGGGGGACTTCCTTTCAAACCACCACAGGTGGGTATCAATGGAGAGCTAAAGAAAACTTAAAGCAGCACCTATGAAAATTGATGCTACTCCTGCTGTCCCAAATCTCATCGTTACTTCTAGCCAGAACCCAAAGCCTATTTCCATTGTACTGTCTTCATGCCTCTGTTCCATAGGTCTCCCAAATTTATGCAGTTAATTTTATTAATTTTTCCTATAACTTGTGAAAGAGACTGAGTGGACATAGCATTACTACTGGTATGTCTAGCCTCAGTCTTCTAACTTCCCAAAGAGCAGAGTGTGTTTAGAATACCATTCCTCATCTGTATAGTTGTCAGGCCTCCCTTATTTCTTGATATATGACAAGATTCAATTGGGAAGTAAGCTGTGCAGTTCTGTTCCTATCAGTATTTGGCTTTTTATGTATTCTCACTTCCTCTCATTCAGTGACTTGTTGCTAATTTGAACCATTGCCATGCAACAGTGGAGATTTATACTGTAACTATTAAAATTGTGGCATTTGGTCCCAATAACTTGCTTTGGGGAAAATAGTTGTGCTGGTTATTTATTTATTTATTTATTTATTTATTCATTCATTCATTCATTTTTAGCAGCTTGATACAAGCTAGAGTCACCTGGAAGAGGGAGCCTCAGTTGAAAAAATGCCTTCACCAGACTGGCTTTTAGGCAAGACTGTGAAGTATTTCTTGATTAATGATTGATGTGGGGCCCAACACACTGTCATTGCCCTGAGATGTATAAAACAGCATGCTGAGAGAATCATGGAGAGTGAGGGAGTGTTCCTCTATGATCTGTTTTGGTTCCTGCTCTGAGTTTGTCCTCACTCCCCAGCATGGTAGACTGTAAGCTATGAGACAAACCCTTTCCTTCCCCCAATGGTTTTGGTCAGTATTTTATCACAGGGACAGTAACTAGGACGATAGTATTTATTTCTACACTCTGTAAATCATTAATATTAATGTGAATTGCATGTTCATTATCATTGTTTAAAATTTTTTGTTGTTTGTTTTGTCTTTGAAGACAGATTTTCTCTATAGAGGCATGGCTGTCCTGGAACCCATTATGTAGCCCAGGCTAGCTTTGTACAGCTGAGAATGCCACCTGTGCATCACTGCTTTTTAATTTTTCTCAGAAACACTTATTTATCCACTATATTGTAGCTTTAATTATTGTCACTAGGTTTTAAAAAGTGGTTCTTGTGATTAAAAATTATTTCAAGTACCTTGTGAAGTAGCTGTATGGCAATATTCCTATTTGGGGATTGTGAAAGGCTAGAGTAGAATTTGAAAGCCTGGGTCATGACCACATACACTGATCCATGCTATTGTAATATGTATCTGACTAGGAACTGATTTTTCCTTCTTTCTGCTCTTGCTTCCAGATTTGAGTATTGAGTCATCAGGGTCTGGCTCTGTAAAGGTGCAGAATATTGAATGTGACAACTGTAAAATTGACACTGTGCAGGGGACCAGCATCTTGCAGTCTGTGAAGGTAGGAGTGTGTCTCTCACTGTGCTCCAGTGATTAAAAAAAAAAAAAAAAAAAAAAAACCTTAAACAGCAAAGCACAGACTCAAACTACAAGGCTTAGCTTGTTATTCAGGTTATTATCACTCATCTTTTAGAAAGTCTTTGAAAAAATTTGCCTTAAAAATCACAAATGTTGCAGCAACTTAGAAGGTCTTACCTCCCCCCCCCCTTTCCTTCCTCTTGTTACAATTATATTTAGATGTCATTTCAAAGTGTCTTGAAACTCCAAAGTGTATTTTTAGGATTTTGAGATAACACTACAATTAAAAAAAAGTTAGTTTTGCAAAATTTTCTTCTGCTTACTAAAGACTAAAGAAAGTCTTTATGCACTATAACTGTGCTTAAAATATTTTTTTTTTTAATATGCCAGAGGATCTTTCCTGGAGTGCTAGGCAGCCGATTCTGCAGAACAACAGATGATTCGTCTTGTTTTATAATTAACAATTTTACACTGTATTTTTCTTAAAATGAGATTGGTCTCAGCTTTAAATATTTTAAATTATTCCTCTTTTAGGGAGTTTGCTGTTATTTTTGTAGGAGGCTTTCTTTTGGGGCTCATCACCAACCAGCTCCCAAATCATAACATGGAGACTTACATTAGTTATGAATGCTCAGCCTTTCTTTAGGCTCTTTTCTTGCCAGCTCTTATTGCTTAACCTGTTTCTCTTCACCTACATTTTTTGCCTCAGATCTTTTTTACCTTTCTTATCTTTGTATATTTTCGCTGCTTCTTGAGACTAGTTGCTGCCTGGTTTCTGGCCCTGGGTATGCCCCTCCCTTTCTCCCTCGTTCTCTTCTTTCAAGCCTAGAGTCCTCCTCATTCTTTCTGCCCACCAGTCCTGCCTATACCTCTCTTGCCTACCTATTGTTCATTAGCTTTTATTAGATCAATCAGGTGCCTTAGGCAGGCCAGGTGAAACAAATGTAATACATCTTTACATAATTAAACAAATGGAACACACCTTCATATAGTTAAAGTAATATTCCACAACATAAACACATCTTTGCCCAGTTAAAATAGTATTCCACAACAATTTCTAATTGCTGTAGCATTTGCAGGGTGGAAGCATAATGCTTTGACACATTTTACTGAACTTCTCTGTGTTGTAACTTTAATTAATCTGAATGATTGATGCATTCTGTTTTTACCCATTTGTTTATTTGTTCATCTTTATCTGGGCACCTGCCTCTTACATCTATCTACATATGAGGCTGCTTAAAAAATTTAGTTGTGCAATCATCATAAAAGACTAAGAATACCCAGATAGATTTTTTAACCTATAGTTTGATTCATATATATGATTCACATATATACAATTGTGCAATAAAGTCTTCATCTTGAGTGACTAATTGGTTAAGAATACTGTAATTTCTTTTCCTTAGAAATACTTATTTGCTCAGTGGTGCTTTAGTTTTTAATTAATTTTGCAATCTTCACATTTGGGTTCTGTCTCCAGTCTGCTGCTTGCTGTCTATGTCCTTGTACCCCTATTTTCAACTGGTAGTCCTGAAAGATCTGACTCCATCAATTCCATTTCTCCTTGCCACTGTGGGTATAAAATACAATTATTTCTCCACCCATGGCACTGTTGCCGTTTTGGGGCATGGGATTTTTCTTTGGATCCTATTGGATGTGGGAGTGGCAACCCTGGCCTCTGCCTCACAGATGCCAGTAAGACACACCTTGGTTGTGAAAGAGAAAACTGCCACATGTCCTTTGGGAACATATTGTCATCAGTTGGAAGAACCATAATAGACGTGGGCCATGCTTGTTCCTTAAAGCATGACTGAGAATAACTAAGGAATAATGGTGACTAACTCCTACAAGAATGAAACAGTACAATATTTTAAGACACAATAGTATTGTTTCTTTTTTAACTTTAAATTTGTAAGAGTTTTATATACAGAAATTTCAAGATAGAGTTTAACTCTATTTTTAAAGTACATTTTGTATTTGTTCTGTGGAAGATTTGTTAAGAAAGAAAGAAAGAAAGAAAAAAAAAAAAAAAAAACATGAACTGGCAGTCTTTACAAATAAAATGGCCTAAAAAAGAATTAGAAGAACTTAAGCTGATACTACAGCTGCCAGTTAGCTTATGGCAACTTGACATGAGCTAGAGCCAACTTTGAAGAGGGAGACTTAATTGAGGAATTGACTGCCTATAGGCAAGTCTGTGGGGGCATTTTCTTGACCAATGATTGATGTGGAAGGGCCTAGCCTGCTGTGGGCAGCACCACTGCTGTGCAAGTGCTCCTGCCATGTATAAGAAAGCACGCTGAGCAAGCCAATTAGCAGCACTCCTTTATGGTCTCTGCTTAAATTCTTGCATCCAGAATCTTGCCTCGGCATCCCTCAGTGATGGAATGTAATCTATAATTCAAGAAAACTTTCTTCCCCAATGTTGGTTTTGGTCAGTGTCTTATCACAGCAATAGAGTAACAAACTAAGACACTAGTCTTGTACTAAAAGAATCATTCTTGCAATGTTGGCCTTAACTAACTCACATTCATGAATGCAGGCACTTGGGTAAGTTATATGGCTTAGGTTGTTAAAATATGGTACAATATTGTCTTTAGTCAGTGATCATCTGTTAATATGTCTGCCTTTTATGTATAAAAATCACATTTTAATAACTAATTACTGCTAATGAATTGTTAATATGTACTGAGAATTTCACATAATCTTTCATTTATCAAGAATGGAAACTAGGAGGCACCAAAATACAGAGGAATGCACTCACTCACCGAGCTAAAGTAGTTGAGCTGGGTTTTGATCTTAAGTTGGTGGTTTCCAAACTCAAACTTCCTCAACTCTGAGCTGAGGAAAACATGGTAATGTTGCATCTATTCAGTATCCTTAAGGTATAAGGCAAGTGAATGTCACACATCTGCATTTTTAAAAAATGTAGCACAATAATCTCAATAGCTAGCTCGGTGTCTTTAAGCTTTAGGCCTCTTTTTTTTTTTTTTTTTTTTTTTTTTTTTTAAATCTCATGATTGTTTCTCTCTAAAGAAAAAATGAAAATGTATATGAAAGCTTGGTTACAACTTCATAAGTTTCAGAGACATTCCAGAAATTTACTTAATTTCAGTTAAGAGCTTTAGATGGGATAGCAGAGTTACTCTGGAAGTAGAATTTTCTAAAAATTCATTAATAACTTAGTTTTTAGGTTCATATCTGACCATGATGAAGTTAACCACACTGTAAGACAAATCCTTGTGGGAACAATTTGTTTTGCTCTTTTCAATACTTTCCTTAAAACTGATTGTTGGGTTATTTTATGGACATGCACAGAAGAAAATGTTTCCGTAGTATCACACAAGCTTACTCTCCCTTCCCTCTGTGGGGTTTTTGTTTTTTGTTTTTTTCAGAGCCAAAAGTTACATGTTCAAACAAAAGGAGGCAATGTGAACTGTCTGGGAACAATTTACGGAAATGTAGACATCCATGCATCGCATCACAGTGTAAGAGTGAAACCCTCTCCGTAACATCACAGTGTAAGAGTGAAACCCTCTCTGTAACTTCCGCTTTGCTCTTGATTCCCCACATTGGCAACGTCCTAGAATTCGTTGTGTAACATTTTCTTTTTAGTGAGTAAAGTTTTTTAATGAGCTCATTTTTAGAACTGAAGTGATTAAATGCTTATAATTTAAATTTTAGTGTGTGATTTAATACTTTTGATATTTATGCCATTAGAATCAGTAAACACTTCATATTTAACTCTGATTTGTCTAAGGAGACTTTTATTTTGATGATCATGGATTAAAATACCGAATTAAGTGATTCCACCAGTGTGGGTGGGTTTTTTGTGAGTGCTGGGTTACTGTGTTCTCCCAGGCCTGCTGCTTTTTGTCTAATTAAAGGTAAATTCTGAAACGCTCATGCACCTGGACAGCACAGAATTGACTCATGGGTTTTGAAAAGAGGACATGATGTTGAGAGAGGGAACAAGGCGACAGGGGCCTCTGGGATAAATTGGGGTGAAATGAGCAGTTGATATGCTAAAAATCCATTATGCACTCAGAGAAGTAGTAAATTAAAAAACCATTTGAAAGTTGGTTTCTTCCGTGTTTCCACAAGGTGGCACTGTGAGACAGAGCTACTGTTCTCTTCCCCCACCCTGTTATCTCAGAGATTGTTACAGAAAGATGGTTTGCATTTTAAATCAGCTATTTGACTGCTTCCAGTGACTTGTCATGCTCTTAATAGCAAAGGTAAATTCTGGGGACTACTGTTGCTACTGTGCTGAATAATGTTTTAAATCTTTCAAGAAAACTCTAAATCTGATAATGAAGGTTATGAGCATGTCCTGTAGCTTACTGTTGGCACAATTTTTTTAAAATTAAATTACATTTTATTTATTCTTTTATTTATTTGTGTGTGTGTGTGAGAGAGAGAGAGAGAGAGAGTGTGTGTGTGTGTGTGTGTGTGTGTGTGCACGCGCGCGCGTGAGCGTGCACGTGCGCAGATGCGCACGCGCATCAAGATGCACAAGAAGTCAGAGGGACATCATGTGGATCCTAGTGATCACACTGAAGTCATGCTTGGCAACAGCTCTCTTTTCCCATGAGCCATCTGCTGGTACAATTATGAAAGGTGAATGGCTTCTACTGTGCTTCCCATCACTTTTTTCTTAGAATCTGTGGGAAGCTGTTTAAATCAAATATATATCTTTTAAATTAAACTAGGAAAGTGTTTCAAGAGCCTGCAGCCGTAGGTCACTGCCCTTGAAGATGACCTTTAGTTTTTTTCAGTCACATTACTATCTCCTTAGAGGCACAACAGGCAAACTTTGCAGTCCTTCCAATTCAACCCTTGCATTGGTGGATAATGTTATTTGAAATTATATTACATATAATGTTACAAGATTACATGTTCTCTGTGGGGGCTGGTGCGTATAAGTGCTTGGAGGCCCATGCTCAACACAGGATGTCTTTCTCAATCACTGGCCACCTTGCTTTTCGAGACAGTGCTTTTCACTGAACTTGGAGCTCGTGGGTTTTGGCTAGGCTGGCCAGCCAGTGAGCTCCAGGGATCTGCCTGTCTTCACCTTCCCAGCACTGGAGTTAGAAACCTATGGGCCTAGGTTTTGACACAGGACCCATGATTGACTGGCATGCATTGTACTTATGAGCCAGTATCCTAGCCCAGTATTACATACTTCAATCAGATATGAGTATCAAAAATTTAAATCACGCTATTTTCAGTACTTTGGCCACATTAGTTGCTAATTTGTTCTAACTGACATGGGCAATTGGACATTACTTTTACTACCTGTCTTTTGTTTCTTTCCTGAGTTTGGCGATGTGCTAAAGACTTAGTATAGATATTTTTTTCTATTTTTTCCTGCATAGTATTAAATTTAAAACACTTAAAAGTTTATTTAAAAGCATAAAAAATACTTACTGATTAAGACACACATTGAGAATTAAACTTCCTGACTCAACCACTGACTAAGTTTTGTGACTTTAGACAAGTTACTTACACTGTGTGTCTCAGTTTTCTGGAAAATGTGGTCATGGAAATGGACCTATCTCAGAACTCGGATAGGAAGATTAAGATATCAGTACAAATAAAGTGGTTAAAGTGGGGTCTTGTATATGGCTGACTCTGACATGGGGGCATGCTTCCTGAAAGGATGAAGAGAAAAGAACCATGGGAGAGAACACCTGCACCTGGACCTGTATCTTGCTGTTCAAGAGATGGATAGAAGTGTTGGTTTACTTACTCAAACAAGATAAAGAAATTAAATGGACATCATAAACAATAGCACTGTCAGCTGTGTGACAGTTTTAAAAGATGTTATTCAGAGTCAATTTTTATAACTTAACAATGAACATAGACATTCATTTTATGTGACTACAGGTTGAATTAATGACACAGTTGTCACTTTTTCTACTTGGACTACAGAGTCACATTACGAGTTGATTTTTGTATGTATATATATTAACCATGTGTAGGGGAAAATTCCTTCTTATGTTAAAATTAATTTTAGCAATACCTCTCAGGAATGTATTTTCTGATTTACCTTTTTTTCTCTCTAATTTCTGTTAAAAAAATCATAGTATACACTTTAATCTAGGGAGTCTGCGTGTGACACAGTAATATAAATAAGACTAAATAAGATTTTGTCAATATTTTGCTGACAACTGAACTAACCCAAGTTTAATTTTTTTGGGTTAGTATCTTACATGGTTCAGATGATGAGGTTTATGATATGTGGCCCTTGAAGAATTTAGAATTTCTGGAAAATTGTATAAATGATTGGCAACTATACTGTGTTAGTGATCTGTGGTGGATTTTACTTGCTTTGGTAGTACAGGGTGTTTTCTGGCTTCCTGGGGATGTATTTAGTTTTTAACAGCTGTGTAGATCCTTGGCATTTTACAGATGCTCATAGAAAGGGTCTTGAAACCCAGCTTTATTTCACATGGTAGTAGGCAGTATCTAGGTAGAAGTGCTCCTTAGCTAATTCATGATGTTTCAAAATGTTTCTATTTTGGTGTAAAACAGCACTATTCCCTATTGAAATATTCCAGAATATCTCATTTTATTCCCTGATTTATGGAAATTCTTGGATAGCATGAAACCATGAAAACTAAGCAAGTTTTCATGAGTAGAGTTTGTAGGCAAAGACTTTTTTTGTTAGAAGTTTTATGCCTTTGCTATAAGCCCATCAAAGATAAAATGTTTATGTCCCAGTAAATCCATTTACAAAGTATAGTGCTTTATTTTTTTGGAAACTAAACTTAAAATTTCTGTCAGTCCATAATCAACTTAAGATAATCAAGCAGTTAAAAAAAAAAGCAATATTATGATACACGTTCTTAAAAATACAGAAAGTTGTGTACTCTGAATCCAGGGCAAAATAGTTTTAACTTATGCCCCATAAGACCAGGTGGCTACTTTTCTTTCTCATTTTGTTCTGTCTTTAATATTTTGTTTTTGAAACTCAATCTTGTCTGGTAACATTTGCTAACATTCTTAATGGTTTTTGGAAAACTTGTGAGGAGGGGTGAAGTGATACTGTTGGTTTAAAAGCCTTGTTTCTGGGCAGAATTGTGGCAGGCCATCCTAGTAACTGAGTGTATAGTGCCAACACTTTGATATTAACTTGTATTTGTTTGTAACATGGTAGAAATGATGTGGAATTCTCAACTGTCTTCGCTTTACATGGCAAACAATATTTGAGACATAAACATATACTGAATTTTGTCAATGAAATTTAAGATGAATAAGAAGGTTACAGTTACTACATCAACATGTGAGAAAAATCATGTAGCTCAGCAACACCAGAGTTTGTGAGACCCAAATGCATCCATGAATTCAGTATAGAAATAACAATACATTTGGTTGTTTAATCACATAAAAGATGCATACAAACATCTCTGTAACAAGCATCACACCTCTGCTGAGATGCTGTGCACTTTCCTTCTGAGAAAAAGCAGGAAGGTAAGGTAGGCTGCTCTTCATCTAGTTGCTACTGTTGAATTGGAAGATGGAGCCAGACATAAGGAAAAGAATGAAAAAGCACAGAGAATGCAATTTATATAAGAATATATACTAGAAAGGAGGTAATAGAGTGATCATCTGGAGATAACAGAATTGTGTATGTGGATTTTTTTTGAATGCAAAAAAATTATTAGAATTAGTGAGTTTATTGTGGTTGTTAAATTAAGTTCAAATAGAAAAGTCAAGAAAACATGAACTTTTAAGAGAAATTATCTAACAGGAATAAACTAGAAAGATAAATTCCACAAAGAAAGTGTAAAACATTGCTAAAGAGACTAACAAAGGCATAAATAAATGGAGGAGTCATGTGTTGGCTCTATTTCCCACTCTGCAGAGAATGCATGCTGCTCACAGTCTCAGCAGCTACATCCAGGGAGCTCAATGGCAAGGTGACTGTATTTCTCATGGAGTTGGTCATCATCCTATGTCAGCGGTCCTCACCCTTCCTAATGCTGTAGTTTCCCATGTCGTGGTGATCTCCAACCATGAAATTATTTCCTTGCTATTTCATAACTGTGATTTCGCTACTGTTAGGAACTGTCATGTAAATTTCTGATATGCAGGTAATCTGATATGCCAGCCCTGTGGGGGGTTGGAACTCACAGGTTGGGAACTGCTGTTCTAGATGAACTGTTTTGATTGCTTACAGTTTGTTTTATAATGAACTCATTACAGTCTCTCTCTTACTAGACTGTGACCATAGATAAACTTCAGGGAAGTTGTGTTAATATATCTACAGAGGATGGTTTGCTGAAAGTCAAGTATCTTTATACAGAATCTTCATTTCTGACTTCTGCTGCTGGGGATATTGCATTAGGAAATGTTCATGGTAAGCTGGCAAAGGCCTAGTGTATCTCAGACTTTCCACATAGCATAAAATTTAAGATGACTGTTCAAGAGGGGTCAGGGAACTGGCCTTCTAGATAATTAATTGCAGACTAGCCATTCTTTTAAAAATCTATGAAAATAAACTTACTCACAAGCTAATTTAATTTTATTTTGGCAAGAATTTGATAATCATGCCATTAATATATGAAGCTAATAGTAGTTCTGATTTTTTAAAAAGATTCTTACTATTTTTCATTGTGTGTATATGTGTATGTGTGTGCATGTGTGTGTATGTATGCATGTGTATGTGTGTGCATGTGTATGCATTTGCATGCCATCTCTCCAGCCCTAGTAGCTGTGATTTTTAAACATTTTTATAAGAAGAAACACTATCCAAGAGGTGAAATAAAAGCAATATTAATAAAGATGGGATTCTTAGTGGTTACTTTTCATGATAGGAGAATAGTTAAATGAGTAAAATGTTTGGGTAGATCAAATTATAGAAACTCTGATACTGATTTTGGGTATTTGTACTGGCAGAGGTAGATCTTCCTAGCAATGTGCTGTTTCAGTTGTCATTGTCATCCCCCCCACTTTGGTTTATCAAGACAGGGTTTCTCTGTGTAGCTTTAGAGCTGGAACTCACTCTGTAGACCAGGCTGGCCTTGAACTCACAGAGATCCTCCTGCCTCTGCCTCTTAGTGTCTTCAGTCTTGTGTGATGTCCCAAAAGTCTCTCCACAGAGAGCAGCATTATTTAGTTAATGTTTATAGCATGGGAAGAAAAAGAGAAAACACATTGGGGAAATAATATGGCTGAAGGCCTGCTGATGGTCAGTGTCATTCTGCCTCTTTGTTTCCACAGAGCAGGTGATGCAAATCCAGATGTATTTTCTGAAATACATGTAAGAATATAGGCCCTTCACATGTGACGGGGGCTCTGCATGAGGAATCATAGCCTCTGATACAGTTAAATTTATTCATTCAACACAGTTACTGACTGGCTACTGTGTGTCAGATTTCTAGGAACCAGGAGTGTAGAGTTGAGCAAGAAATGATACCCACCTTTAAAGAACACACAGCTGTCTTATGTATCACTTCCTATGTCTTCCACCCGGCTCCACTTGTTGTCCCGTCACCCCATGTCAAAGCAACTTCCTCACAGCTCCTTTTGTAACTCTGGTGCTCAGTGAGCAGGAGCAGGAGAGCGTTAGAAAGGAATCCTTACCCACCCCTCACACCAGTGCTTTGACTGTTGTACATCATGGAGATAAGCCTAAGTTTCCTGCTCCTTCTTCCATGTTACCTGTCCTCCATCCTGGTTCCAAGAACTTGCAGGAGTGTGCTGTTGAAGCTTGGAGTGTGAATGTTAGGATGGAGGTGGAGAAGCAGGTGAGCTTCCACACCCTAGGAAGACCCTGTGAACCCTGGTAGTTGTGTAATACAAATTATTTGTATTTGGCTATATGTAAACAAGCTAGCTTAGGATCCTATAACTTGTTTTTATGAAAAAAATATGTTGCTATTTACGAGCCCTTTTTAAAAACAGATAATATATTCTAAGACCTATCTGGGATTTATTTAGTGTGGCTTTTTTTTTTCTTAAGTTTAAACTCAATTCTCTTTTCAGTTAGAGCTGAAAAAAAATGCAACATATGGCTGTTCTAAAAAAACCTTTCTACACAACTTTGTAATAGTCTTTTTCTCAAGACTTCATATCACAACCAAGTTTGAGAGAATCGATCATATTTTCATTTAAAGATGGTATTTTGCTACATTAAGACTATTTTAAGTATAGGGCTCAGTTTTCTTGTGTATGGGTGACTAGACTCATTAGCTAAGTGGCTATAAAACTGTCTTAGTTCTAGGGTGGCCTGGATGACTGTGTCTCTGACTTAAGATCTCTCCTAGGATTATAATCATGATGTCATTGTGGGCTGTGAGCTCTTGCCATTGTTCAGCAAGGGTAAATATGGCTCCATGCCTACTCATGCCTGTTGTCAGAATACAGTTCATCCTGTTAGCCAGGGGCCTTTTGATTTCTTTGTCAAATGACCTGTTTCAAAGGGCAGTTGACAGTGTTACATCTGACTTCCATGAGAGTAGCAGGGGACTAGAAATATAGAATCAGAATCGTCTATAACAGAATCATGGGCATGACAGCCCAGCACCTTTCTCCTGCTCTCTTGGTTGTAAGCAAGTCACTGAGGTCTGGCTGGCACATGATAGAAGAGCCTTCAAAGGGAGGCATGGGTACTAGAAGGGAGAAAGAGTGGGAGCCACGTTAGAGCCTTATGCTTTTGTTCACTGTTTGCATGTGATGGTGAAACTACATTTACTGGGTTTGAAAATTGGAAGAGTGTATAGAGCACACCAATGAAGTAATGTGTACTTAACACATTTAACAAGATATTCAAAGCCTCGGAATGTCCTAAGACATAAAATAATTTTATGGGCTACATTGAAACCATGCTCTTATCCTTTCATAAATGTCCCCCCTTGTTCTTGTACTCACATGAAGTGTGGTGGGATGTTAGACCTTTTCAAGCATTTTTGCCATCACACATGTCTGACTATTGGGAAAATGAATGGTGTCTTTCTTTTTACTTTTTCCAGAAATTGGCATACTAGCATCTGCAAATATATGACATAATTTTGAATTGATTGACTAATTTTGAATTAAAGTTGGATTAATTTTGAATTCAAGTTATTCCTTCTTTCTGTAGTTTTGGAGTATATTAGAAGAGATAAGGTTATTGCATACATTTTGTGGGGAGAAGCTATGAATTTTTGATTCTAGGAGTACTTGTACCTGCAATCCCACATATAAAGAACAGTCCAATTTTTAAACTAATGGGACTGAAAAGAATGGTTGCACCACCCTATCGTATTTCTGGAAAATGTATTTTGATTGCATAGTGGAAAGCTTTGAAGCATTTTTTTTTTGTTGTTGTTGTTGTTAGTCATATATCTGTGTATTCATTGTTATCCCAAATCACTGTAACACTTGGCTCAGAAACTACTTTAATCCAACAGATGTGGCACCTGGCCTAAAAAGAAAACATTTTTATGAAAAGTTTGTGTTCCTTGGCTAAAATTTGGCTTTGTGTGGTCTAATTAATGTTCTGATATTAACGTTTAGATTGAAAATGTGGAGGGAGTATATTTTGTCAATGTGTGAGTGTTTCATAGCTGTGGGGTTTATATGCCTACAGTTATTTGTTTTAGAATTGCAACTAATCTCTTACTGGATTTCTGATACTGACAAAAATGACCACAGCAGTAGTGGTATTAAATGGCATTGTGGATGTATAGCTGTGCATTAGGATTCTTTATAACACAGTTCCTTCTTCATTATCCCTGGTAATTTGAAATTCTTGTTTTCTCTCTTTTGCAGGAAATATCACATTACAAAGCAAGATGGGTAATATTACAGTTGGTATGTGGTTAAGATGCTGTTTGGTAATGGCTTATACCATCTATAGTTGTGATGCTTTCTTAATCTATAGTCTGTCTCACAAGCCTCACTTGCTACTTAAGTCATGTATGAAGGTCAAGAATGAATATTTGGTTCAGAGAAAATACCCTGGACCTAATATTAAGAAAGGAAATCACATAAATATCCTGAGTTCTTTAAATAGCCACATTAACTCTTTGAAAGGTATGCTATATACATATACATATACATACATACATACATACATATATATTGTCTCCAAAACTGTTATCATTTAAAGTCAACCACTATTACACCTATACCTTTTTGTCTATGTTTATGAGTGTCTGCTATTCTTTTGCTACTAGGGAGTATATTAGTCATCACGAATACTCATTTTGTCTAGGAGCTGTCGAAAAAGAATAGTCATGTAAAAACAAAAGGTGATTTCAGATCACCATAAGTGCAATGAAGAAATAAGTAAGGGGATAGAGATTACTTATGGAAAAGAACATTACTATAGTTAGGCAATCAGAAGAAGAGAGACATTTTAATTGAGGTTACCAAAATAGCAACTAAAAAACTTGTAAAATTATGCATACAGAGCTCCCACAAAGGGATGGCAAGAACAAGCCTTAAAATGGAATGGGTTCACCATTTTTAAGGATGTGGTAGATGTAGTAGGAGAAGAAGTGAGACTATATCTTAGAACCCTGTGTATGTGGATTCGGAGGAGCTTTATCACAATAAGAAGGTTCAGAGGATGGGTATCTTATGTTCAAGTTTAAGTTGCTTAGCCTGTAGTGTTGTAGAATATTATTTTAAGATATGTCACATATGTTTATGCTCTGGAACGTCTGTTTAATGATGTAAAGTTGTGTTGCTTTGTTTATGTTGCATTTGTTTAACTCTGTGAAGCTGTGTTACTGTGTCTGTCTAAAAACACCTTGTGGTCTAATAAAGAGCTGAACAGCCAGTAGTGAGGCTGGGTAGGCGGGGCTGAGCAAGCAGAGAGGATAACTAGAAGGAGAAATGAGGGAATGAGGAGAGGAGGACACTAGGGGCCAACCATCCAGCCAGCCATGGCTGCTCCCTGTTAACTCTTCAAGGGTTGCCAAAACTGTTTTGTCCTTTGAAAAGTTGAGCTCAGTTTGCCTCACACATCTCCCAGAGGCCTGTTTACTCCTTCCTACTTATGGAATGCCTAGAGGGGGCTTCATAGAAAATTGAAGTTGCTTTAAAACTCTACTTTTTCAAACTCTTATATGTCCTGTGGATATAAGTTGCCTGTTCTTGTACTCTGTACAGCTTTACGAGCATATGACTCAGTCAGCAAACAACTTGTTCCTCCTTTATAACATGAAAGTTGGAATTTAAAAATATTAAAGACTTGCTTTGAAACATGCATGTCCAACTTTGAGAAAATTTTTCTTTTATCTAAAAGAAAACAACACATTTAAAATGTTTGCTTTTCAAGCTTAGTTGTTTTTCTCCTGTCAACAAAATATGTGTTACAAATGCATGTTTCTTTGCTTGAGTCTGGTGTTAAGCTGGTGGTTGAAATTAGTTTTTCTCTTTTGAGTAATTAAAGGTAAAACAGCTCAGTGGACCCTGTTAAACAGTAAGCTCTTTGTTCAGAATTCTAACTGTTGCTAACTCTCTGTGGGGGTCTGTGTACCTGCCTGTCTGCTCTATAGTCTCTGTTCTCTTGTCTACTCCTGTAAGACATCTCCAACAGCTGTAGAATGTCTTCGCAATGCTGACCTTTAAAGTATGGGATTCTTGTAGAGAAAGCCTTCATCTTACTCTTGATGATTAGTTTTCATTTCCATATTTTGTATTATAGAAAGTTTGTTTTGCTGCATATGTTATAAAATGCAAATTATCAGTTTTTAATATGAAATGTTTGACTTTCAATCACACACGAGTACTTGTCTTTACATCATTCTCACCCCATTCTCTTACTCTACCAATGCCTCCAATGCCACTTCCTTAAATTCATGACCTCCTCTACTTTATTTTACACACACACACACACACACACACACACACACACACACACACACCTAAATACAGCCTGCTGAGTCCATTAGGTGGTGGGGGTGGAGGTGCATTTAGGGTTGACTGGGATCAGATAACCTACCTTGGACTCATTCCTGTAGAAGACTCCTTGTCCTGTCAGCAGCCATGTGTTGACTACAGCTCTTCTTGTGAGATCCCCCACTCACATTGGAATGTTTTTTTTTGTGCAGGTCTTACATAAGCAAACATATTTTTGAGATTTTGTGTTTGCTGCATAGGTTTTAAATGTCATGTCTGCCTTTTTAAAAAGCATCTTGACTTTTTTGACAGCTTTGGAAAATGAGACATTAACAAAGCTCAAGAGTGATAACATTCAAATATAATTACTTTGTAACTTACAGTTTTTTTCTCCCATAGTGAAGGGAATGAAAGTATTGTTTGTAGATCACCTAACATTCTTGTAGGGTTCCCCTTCCCCAGAGGAAAAAAGTCAAACTAATTATCAAACACTTTACTTTGTTCAAGCTGGGATGATACATGTACACATTAGATAGCCTACATGTTTGTTATTACCACAACGTATTTTACATGGCTTCTTTATGGATTAATAAAAGGTTTTTAATGAAGTTTCTGTTGGAACTCATCTAACAATGATGTAGCCAGTCTCTCTGTCTCCTATAATTTACCTAATTCTTCATTTACTTATGCTGGTATTTACTTTTGATACTTGGAAACTAATAACTGGGGCCTGATAAAGAACGAATTGGTGTAGGTTAGAGACAAATCATTCTAAACGATCTTTGTGCCAGATCTTGAATAATTCACTTCAAAGTTTGATTGAAGCTATTTATAATTTTAAAGAGAAGCATTGCCTTTGTGGATAATATATTTTCTTTTCATATTTTGTAAAAAGTATTATTTCTCACGTAATTTTCACCACAGTTCCTAGTTTGTTTCTCGGTTGAAGTAGTAAAAGCTCTTGATAAAATGTGCTTTGTAGAGGCCCCTGAAAAGACTGTTCTCTGACCTTCTGGGGACAGCCAGGCTGGGTATTAAAGTTTTAGTGGCCATGGGGCGTAGGGTAGATGACCCTTAGCACTGACACTTCAAGGCATTCTCCAGTTTCCTTGTCTGACTTTGTTTCTCCTTGACCATAAACTGTTGGTCTACTGAAAACAAGAGTCATTGAAAAAAAAACAGAAATTTGAGTTCATGTAAGGATTAACTTGATTATTATTTTCTTGTCCTGACTTGAATATTCCTATTCAAATCAGAAACTTCTGCAAAGAAGAATTAGATGAAACCAGGAAACAGCCTTCCATCTCCCTGTGATTGCTCCATACCTTGCTACCCCTCTAAGAAATGCAGTCAACCCTCATGGGGATAAGCTGTTGCTCTTACACAGCCAGTTTGCTGAAAGACAAGATGTGAAGTTTTGATTTCTCACTAATTTCATTCCTGTTTATATAGTCTAAGCACAGGGTAAACGTCTTTGGCTGATACTGGAAGTTTGCTAGATTTGTCAATTTGAGAATGAATGAATACTTAAGTGGTGCTTTCTGGGTTTGGCATTGGCTGTCAGTTGTTACACGCCATTCTTCCTACAGTCAGGTTTTAAGACATGAGCTGTGAGGCTGGAGAGATGGCTCAGTGGTTAAGAGCACTGGCTCTTCTTCCAAAGGTCCTGGGTTTTATTCCTAGCACCCATATGGTGGCTCACAACTGTCTGTAACTCCAGTTCAAGGGACTTGGTGTCCTCATGTCCTCTTCCAGCTAATGTAGTACCCGGCATGCAAGTGGTACACTTGCTGGCAAAACAACCATACACATAAAAGGGTAAATTAAAATTTTAAGAAAGGGTGCATATTCAGAGCTCTATAGATTAGTTTTAATAGTTGTGTAGGTGTGTATTTCTAAATTCCTAGTATGTTTACATTTTGATAAAAAGATGACATTGTAATGAGGAAAATGCAAAGCCTTGCAAGGTTTATAGGTTCTTACCCATATGTCAAAGCAGGGCCTTTTATTTCAAGTTTGAAATTCCATTTACTCGTTTAGACCAATCATGGTTATAATTTTCTTTCTCCCAGATTCGTCCTCCGGATGTCTAAAGGCCTCAAGTCAGCAGGGTGCCATAGACGTTTATGTCAGCCAGCTGGGGGAAGTGGCCCTGACCTCACAGGAAGGTGAGCGACTGGAATGGTGCCGCTTCATGTGCAGTGTGAGGAAAGATTGATGTAATATTTGGGAAACAGATGGGCGGCTTAGCTACAGTGACTTGAAGAGATTTTCTTCTGCTAGATCCTGATTTAAACACTGATATTGAGCTCCCTAAGCCTATCAGAAGTCTTTATGTTTAGGATAGGTGGCCATGAAGAAAAACTTACTTTCTTTGACAAACATGGTGTTGTATTTTTTTTACTGTTACTGTATAATTTCTAATGTTTGTGTGGATCTTCCACTTTTGTCATGTAGGAAATAGAGTGTTCTTTGTAGGAAAAAAGTCTTTAAGTTGGCCTTTCTGGCCCAGCCTGTAGAGAACCTCCCCTGCTGTCACAATAGAACAGTTGCCTTCAAAATGTGGTCCTAAAGCATCCCCATTTCGGTCCCCAAAGCAGAGTTCTGATGTACTTGTCTACATAATTTCTTATCCAGATAACTTAGTTAAGTATTTTATTTAAAATTGCATGCTTTTTTATCCACTGGAAAGCTGAGTATGAGCTGTATGCATCTAGTCACCTTAAATACACTTTTTATCCCTCTGAAAACTAATTTGACATGTAGGCATACACATACATGTAGGCATGGTAACAAGTGACAGTGTGACTTAGCTGTATGGACTGAGGTGCAGAAAGTTAGGAACTATAATTCTGTATAAAAGACTTAAGACTAACAACAATATATAGAATCTGTATATTGGCTAGGATGGGACTGAACATTACAAGGATGGTATTTCTTCTCAGAAACTAGTTCTCCTACTGCTAATTTCTATGTCATGTAACAGTCTTCTCCCAATCACATGCCTTACCAGAGTTAGTGGAGAGCTACTGAGCACAGGGTAGAACTGAAACAGGTGCTGATACGTAGGCAGGGTTTCTCAGGCGATTCTAGCTTGTTTTCTTTAAAATAGGACATGATCTTTGTCCTAGTTAAGGTTTCTATTGCTGCAGTGGAACACCGTGACCAAAAACAAGTCGGGGAGGAAAGAGTTTATTAGGCCTACACTTCAGCATTGCTGTTCATCACTGAAGGAAGAAAGGACAGTAACTCACACAGGGCAGGATCCTGGAGACTGGGGCTTATGCAGAGGCCATGGAGGGCTGCTTACTGGCTTGATTCCCATGGCTTGTTTGGTTCACCTTATAGAACCCAGGACCACCAGCCCAGGGATGGCACCACCCACCATGGGCTCCCCACCACCACCACCATGCCTTACAGCTGTATCTCAAGGAGGCATTTCCTCAGCTGAGGCTCCTTCTTCTGATGACTCTAGCTTGTGTCAGGTTGACATGCAAAACCAGCCCATACAATTTTATCCTCACAAAACTCCTAACTTTGCCTTAGTTTCTTTTCTATTGCTCTGAGGAGACACAGTGACCAAGGCAACTTATTAAATAAATTATTGATTTGGGGCTCACAGTTTGAAAACGTTGAGAGTACATGATCATCGTGGGGGTGGGGGGGAGCATGGCAACAGTCAGTGGAGCAGTAGCTGGGAGCTTACATCTTGATCACAAGCAGAGAAGGCTAACTGGGAAGGGCATGGGCTTTTGAAAGTTCAAAGCCTGCCTACAGTGACACCTCCTCCAACAAGACCATACCTCCTAATCCTTCTACAGTCCCACCAACTAAGGACCAAGCATTCAAACAACTGCCCTATATATAAGGTCATTTTCATTTAAAGTGTTAGCCATATCATTTTAATTTCGTGTGTGTGTGGGAGGGGGGGTGTTGAGACAGGGTTTCTCTGTGTACCTTTTGGAGCCCGTCCTGGAACTCACTCTATAGACCAGGCTGGCCTCGAACTCACAGAAATCCACCTTCCTCTGCTTCTCTTGTGCTGGGATTAAAGGTGTGTGCCACCACCACCTGGCAATTTTACTCTCTTATGAAGTCCCAACAGGGGAAACTATTAACCATGAATGTCACTAGTAATGGAATTTAAAACAAAAAAGATTTAAATAAATAGTTCTTCTGTGAATGTTATTTTTTTCTTTCTTTTCTTTCTTTTTTTTTTTTTTTTTTTTTTTTTGTTTGTTTGTTTTGTTGGGTTTTTTTTTCTTATTTTACATATCGATTCCAGTTCTGTCTCCTTCCCTCCCTCCCTTCTTCCCTTCCTTTCTCCCTCTCTCCCTCCCTCCCATCCCCTCCCATACCACCCTCCCCCCAGTCCACAGTGATGCCTTCCAGGAGGGATCAGTAAAATCTGTGAATGTTATTTCTTGTATTGTGCTTTTTTAACTTTGAAGTGTATCACTCTTCATCCACTCAAAGTATTTTTGAGTATTATTTACAGCATTGTGCCAACAACATATTGAAATAGCATATGATATTACAACATTTGGTTAGAATTATAATTTTGTTATTTCCTACTACAACCATGTTCCTGGAAGCTTAGAGATAACTAGAAACAATAATCTCCATCTTCTTTGAGGTACTTTTGCTTAGTGTTGTCTAAGGACCTTGGTGGTGTGTCCCAGCTTTGCTATCCACTTTCTTGCTGTGGAGTCTAGAACCAGCAACATGAATGTCTTAGGTCTGCACCGTTTGCCACGGGGGCAGAGGACATATGTTAGAATGCGTATTTGTTGTATCCTTGTAAGGGTGAGCATGATGATGACATTATTCATTCCTTCAGAAAGTCTGTGTTGGTGCTTGGGAGCCAGCTTTGCCTGTGAGTGCTGAACATGTCCTAGGGAAGATGAATCGTCCTCATATAGTATGTTTTCTGTTTGTGGCATTATTAAAATTAATTCACTTTTGAATTTTTGAGAGGACCATGCAGAGGCTTGTCTACCTGACTCCCTTCTCCCTTTGTGTGAATGAAAGTTCGTAAGTCTTGTGTGTGTGGTATATGTGCACATGTGTGTGAATGGAGACCAGAGGAGGTATTGTTGGGTTAGGGTTAGGGTTATTGTTGGGTGTCCTACCCTATGGCTCCACTCTGAGCTACGGTCTCTCACTGAACCTTAAGCTAGCAGCCAGCAAGTCTCAGCAGTCCCCCTGCCTCCCACCCTTCCCCCAGCAGTGGATTATAGCACACATGGGCACGCCCGGCTTTTTAAAGGGTTCTGGGATTTCATCTCAGATCCTCATGTGAGAAAAATCTTAGCCATCTCTTCAGCCCCAGTACTACATCTTAACCCAGATGTCTTGCAGCCATTAGGAAGACTAGGAAGGTATGAAATGACAAGTCCAGAAGGAAACTGTGACCCTTACATAAGTGAATTCTTTAGAATGTTCAATGTCTGTCATCCTGACTGTCTTTGTCCCAGAGATGAGCAGAATGAAGTAGGAGTGTGTTGGTTGACTTGCACTGAGACTGTTTCACAGGGATTTCACAACTCATAGAGTACTTTTTCTGAGTTATTCCATTAGAATCTTAAAATCTTCCTCAGAAACACCAGCACACTACACTAGAGGACAGAGTTGAGTTATTTGCCATCAGTACTTAAAAATATGTAGCGGACTCCCTTAAAGGAATGTCAGTCAGTTGGAATCCAGATAATATTGTTATTCATCCCCTTACACCCCAGCACAACTAAATACAGGATGGTGTGGTTCCTGTGGTGTAGTGAGCAGTAAGGTCATGGGTCTTGCTGGTCAGTGAGGTAGTGGTGTATGAAGCCATTGCACTAACCCTGCATTCTGACTGCAGCTGTGGTAGGAACATGCACAATCCTGCGCTGTCAGAGTGTGGTGATAACTACTTCATGAAGTTGAAATGGTGATTGTTATCTCTTTGCTAATGCTTCCTGACACATGTCCTATCTGTGCCACATGTGTGGTAAATTACTACTGCTTTTTGGTATGGATGAGCTGGGTGGGGGTGTTGGCAAAAGGAGATCTAGTAGTTCATAATGCCCTGGTGCCCATATTCTTGACAGAGTCACAGTGAATGTTTTCACAGGATACTTTGACTGCCTGGGAAAAAGAAAATCCACCACTCTTTAACTCAGTTTGCTGAGGAGGGAAAACAGTAAAGCAAGAGCAATATTTTCATTAAATTTATAATTTGATTTATTTGTATTGGTCTAAATTTGCCACAGGTGCTATTACTGTCAAGGCCCCATCTTCTCTACGAGCTTATTTAAAGCTATCAGGGATAGAGGTGGTTGTGGATTCAGAAGCTCAAGTTCAGGAAATGGCCAAAGACCATGAAGGTGGCCATGTGACGGTTACAGGTAAGGAGTCTGGTGTGGCATGGGTGGATGGCCATTGCCCATGTGTAAGGGGCAGTGTGTTAACTGCAGTTTGGTTGTTTTCCATTCTCGCTATCTAGCATTTGACATTGTCCTTCCAGTGATGGTCGGTAGCATTATGCAGACACTGTTGAGAAGACCTCCATCAGTCATTTAGGGTCACTCAGGAGTTCTGTCCTTTATAAAATGTACTTAAATCTTTTTCCTTGGGGAGAGAAGTCTAATTCTTGACAATTAACATTTATTATTACACTTAACTGCATGATTAGACAGGAATCTTTATGCTATGCACACACCGTAAATTTGCCCTTTTGGTATGGCAAATTCTCAGTTCTACAACTTAAATACTTTTTATACATTTTCATTACATCTAGCTATACTAATGGCTATAGCATTTTTAAGTGTTTGTTTTAATGGTTACTAAAAATAATGCTGACATTTCCCTTTAAAGTCTCACACAATGTTATTAGGAAGGACCCTGAAATAAACTGCACATGTACAAACACTACAGGCTCACTCATGACATAGTGGCTGAACAGAAAATCAAGCTACAGTTTTAAAGTTCTTTTTCTAGGTCATGAGAGTTAAGAGTGCAATCTATAAATAGGACATGACAAAAGTATGATAAGAGTAAGAATATTTGTACATTCCTAGGTCTGATTCCCTGCCTAGTAGGCGAAATCGTTACAAGTTAAAAATGATATTCATGTCAGAGTATGTTAATTGTACTAAAAAGCAACTTGAGACTTGGGGTAGGTTGATTGTATTTGTCTCTTTTAGGCAAGTACTGCTACCATGGCTAGCCTAACTTCTTGAGTTTATAAAGAGCCAAGAGTGTCAGTCTCAGTCTCTCTCTCTCTTTCTCTCCCATATCAGAGAGTCTACACCTGTTATTCCTCTCATGGCCTACTACCCAGAATCCTCCTTGTCTCCTAGTCCTGCCTATCTTGCTTTCCTATTCATTAACCAATAAGAGAAACATATATACAGAATGATATCTCTCATCGTGTGTGTGTGTGTGTGTGTGTGTGTGTGTGTGTAAAACCTCTAGCCTAGCTTTTTTTTTTTTTCTTTTTGTCCTTTATTTGGACAGTCACTCATCAAACATTCCTGGGGTCAGACACTGCTAGAAGCTAGGAATGCAGAGCTTATATTCCAATGAGAAAGACAAACCAGTGCCGGCCAGGTGTACACTATGGATGTGTGTGGTGCTGTGCAGTATGCAGATACTGCATCTAAATTAGATTAGCATGTGTTTGAGAAAAATTGGAGTCAAATGTGGCTAAAATGCAAGAGGACGGGGGGGGGGGGTAAGTAGACTTGGGTAAAGTTATTTGATTTGGATTTTATATTGATAGTATTGAAAGCTTTCCCCTGGGATTCTTATAACCGGGTTTGTATTAGAATGATCGCTTTAAGTTTCTTGTTGGGAAAGGTTGGAAGGAAAAATGGAGGTGAAAGCAAAGCCAGTCAAGACTACGATGGATTCAGGGGCCCAACCTGTACAGTTGCTGTCTCTCGTTCAATAATAGGTCACTACCAATTTTGGTGGAAGGAAAAGGCCATGAACACTATGAGCATATATAACATTTATGGCTTTTAAAGCTTTTTTATCCTCTTTTGTCTTTTTCATGTGTGTTTAGCGCCTAAACTCTGTCTCTCCTTCCTGAACCAGAGAGATCCAAGTGCAGAAGAATTCTTTCTTTTGCTTGGCCAGAATCGGGTGGCAGAGCCCTCCTGCAGGCTAGCCCAGGTTGGTTGGTGCTGCCTCTGCCAAGTGCACTAGTGTGACAGGACAGAGGCCCTCCTGTGAAGCGGGAGCACTCCCTGCGCTGTGTGAACACACTGGGGGAGGTGTGACAAAAATTCTCATACTATGCTTTGCCTCTTAAACTGTTAGGTTACGAAGGCCAGGGGCTCTATTTATGAAGAGCATAAAATAAAGAGACTGACTCAGAGCATCAACCAGATCACATTACTCTTTCCCACACAGATGTCTAACTGAAAACTAATTTTGGAAATAATAAGAACTTTAACATGTAAGTTATGTTAGAAGCAGCTGAACTCAGCTTATCTGGGCCTCTGCACGGCCTACAAGACTCAGATACCATCCTTCTCCCTAAGAGCTCTGGATTGTATCTGCAGCCTGACCTCTGGAGGATTCCTCTAAGAAGCCTTTCCAGTCAGATTAGCTCCTCAGGCTCAAGCTTTGCCCAATGTGTTCATGTGTCACCTGTCCTGAGTTCCTCTTCTGTGGTGTTCCTTGCTCTCTCTAGCTGTCACTGAAAAACAGCTCTAGATTGTATACACCCTGCAGTGGTTTGTAAGCATCATGAGGTGTTCTGCGGTCACTCAGGACCTACTGAAACTCAGTGCATTATCTGATCTCCATGAGCATTTTGATTCTGCTTCGTGTGCTGCCTGTATGTGGCAAATTGAAAATTATGAATGGCTTTGGTAATATCTTTAAATAAGTTGATTTTTCTATTGTGTTTTAGAATTCAATTTCATCAATTTTGATAGGAAATTTGATCATGTATATCTGGCCTCCATGAAATGCCTATGGTACAATAAATGAAAAGTGTGTTCGGATAAAAGACTGTTTGCCCTGCCTGTTTCTTACGGAAGCCAGCATGACTCAGCTGCATCTCAAACAACAGCAACAGCGTAAAACATAGAGAAGCCATCCACTTCAGAGTTCTCAGCAGATTACTATTTAGAATAGAAAACTGGGGTGGGAGTATTGAAGTTTGATCCCAGAACCCACACCCACTTGTTTAAAACAAACAAACAAACAAAAAAACAGGGTGGGTAGCAATCTGTTTATTTATAAGCATAGCACTGGGGAGGTGGTGGCAGGCTGGTTTCTGGGCCCTCTGGCCAGCCAGTCTAGCCAACTAAAGTGAGTTCCAGGCCATCTGAGAAAACCTGTTTGAAAATACAGGGTGGATAGAACCCAAGAAATAATCCAGAGGTTGTCCTCGGGTGTCTACACTAGAGAATCAGGCCAGAAGTTGGAAAGAAATTGAAATATAATTTAAGTCCGTATGTTCTTTTTTTTTTTTTTTTTTAATTGAAGGATAGATTTTATTACTCTGAAAGAAAAAAAAAATAAGAAAAAAAAAGTGCAGCCTTTTGATGTGACTTTTAGAAATAACTGCTGGTTTTAAAATACATAGAAGTAATTTGTTAGTGGCATGTGTATATTTAGGATCATAAAGTGGAAATTCAGTAATTTCCTTTCTTTCTTCCTTTCTTTCTTTCTTTCTTTTTCTTTCTTTCTTTGCCTGCATGCATGTCAGTGTGAGGTGTCAATAGCCCTGGAACTAGAGTTATAGACACTTGTGAGCTGGGGATGGCTCACTCTTAACCACTGAGCCATCTTTCCAGCCTGTATGCTTCTTAAATCATTTACTTACATACGTTGATGGAGAATTAATGAAAGAACTGTTTTCATCTCACTCATGCTCTTCTGTTTTATTTTGTATGATTGAGGGACATCTTGGAAGTACCATGGGCAATGGGACAGCACGTTTGTTAATGTCTACCAAACGGATCAGGTTTACTTCTGTTCATTAAGCTTTTCCGTAAAAGCTGAAAGCATTTATATATCATTTTTGAAAAGACAAATCTCCCAGGATGGATGCAGTTATAGGAATTAAGTTTCCCTCTTACCTAAAACAATGACAGAGGAATAATAAAATATATTTTTCATCAGTTTTTAAGACACTGGCATCAGGCACTTGACAAAAGTGGTCACTGAGTGACAGAAACAAATGAGAAGAGTGTTGATTATGGCTTTAATGGAGTCATCCAAGTTGGGAGAGGGAGCTGCTGCAGACTCTGGCTGACTCAGCTGAGGGGACTGAGACAAGTTCCCAAAGCCCACGAGGCTAGTTGTCAGTGTAGAGTTCCCGAGGGAATGGAGTCCGGTGCTCACACATGTCTAGGGTTTTGTCAAGACCTTTTCTGCAGCTACAGAGATGATCATGTGATTTTTTGTTTCTCAGTATACTTACTTGATTTATTGCACTTGTTGACTTAAATATGTTCAACTATCCTGTGTCTCCTGGTTACAATTTGCCTGTATTAAATTTGCAAGTGTTAACATTGGGGATTTTTGTGTCCTTGTTTCTCAGGGATATTGGCCTGAAATTTTCTTTCTTTGTGGTGCTTTATCTGGTTTGGGTAGTAGACTAATAATGGCTTCATTGGAGTTTGGAAGTATTCCGTCTGTTTCTATTGTTTTGAATCATTTAAGAAGTATTGGTTTTAGTACTTCTCTGAAGTGCTGGTTCTACTATGAATCCATCTGGGCACGGGCTTTTTGATATTGAGGACTTTATGGGTCTATGTTGGTGAACTCTCCTTGGTTGAACTTTAGTGGTTTGGATAAATAGACATTTGTCCATTTCGTTTTAAGTTTTCTAACTTAATAGAATATAGGTTGTTAAAGAATTACCTTATAGTATTCTGAATTTCTTTGTATCTGTTGTAATGTTTGCCTTTTTATTTTTGAATCTGTTCATTTAGAACATCTTTTTCTTTTGGTTAGTTTGGCCAAAAGACTGTCAATCTTATTTTTTCAAAGAACTAGCTCTTAGATTGATTCTTTGTGTTGTTTCCTTGATCTCACCTCATTAATTTCTGCCCTGATTTTTATTATTTCCTGCCATATATTGGACTTTGTTTTGGTTTGTTCTTGTTTTTCCAAATTCTTGAATTGCTTCATTAAGTCATTTATTTGTGTTCATTCTATTTTTAATGTAGGAGGTGGGAGTTATAAATTTCCCATTTTAGGATTGCTTTTAATGCCTTCCCAGAGGTTTTATTGTACTGTGTTTTCATTTTCATTTAGTTCCAGGAATGTTTTTCCTTGATTTCTTTGACTCATTCATCATTTAGTAAAGTGTTGTTTAATCTCCCCAAGTTTGTGTAATTTTAAGAAAATTGTTTGCTTTTGACTTTAAACTTTGTTTCAC